TAACTATCATCTCATCCATCTGACGAATTCCAACAGCATAGATCTAACTAAGAGACCAATCTCACTTGGAGTCTAACCTTAAGCCCAATTCTCATTGGCCCATCAAAAGTCCAACATCCATTGGTACGTACCCAAGTTGCTCATTACACGCATTGGTCAATCATTACATATTACGCATTAATATTTGCATATGCATGCATACATGACATATAATAGACCAAGACTTAGGACCCCCAGTAAAAAAATCCAGAGTCAATGTCTAGGGGAATCACTATTATCAATCTACGTGCAATCTCCATCTAAGTCAGTAACATCTCTCTAACTATTCCTCCCAGTGAGTCTGTCATACAAGCATTATTTGTCAAACTAAATCGTAAGCAGCCTTACGTACGAGCGTTCAAGACGTAAGCAGCCTCACGCATTTTCCATTAGCCTTCAGATGTGAGCAGCCTCACGCATTTTCCATTAGCCTTAAGATGTGAGAAGCATCACACATTTCTTTATTCGCGTTTCATAAAAAGACGTGATCAACCTCACGCAACCTCATCCACTATTCACCTGATCAATGTCTCCCGGTGACCTTACCAATATTAGTAACCTTGTTGTCCGTTTTACCTTTCCAAGTTGATATTATTCCAGTAGCCCTACTGACGTTGGTGCAAAGCCCAGTTCATGTCTGATGCATCATTAAACCCTAGTTCCCGTTTGGTAGCCTGCCTTAAGCAATGGTTTCACAGCTCAAATAACACGGGAATTTCATTTATCAATCATTGCATCATTTCAATTCATAACATTATCAAGCATACATACCATGCATCATGCATACATCAAGCATAATCATATCAAACATGCATACATTCAATCATATATGCCCATGAAAACTGCAGAAAATCTCAAGGCATGCTTACCAGCTAAGACGCACTTAATTTCAAATCCAGGCTCAACGCTATCCATTCTTCATACTATAGCCACCTCGGTTGAGAATAGACACAACCATCAAATGTACCGCTATCAAAATTTCACTAGGCAGCTTACCTACGATTCATATCCAAGGCTTAGTCATCACCAGCCTCCGGGCATTATACTTTAAATTATCAAATTTAAACTTTTCAAATTCAAACCTTTCAAACATTTAACTTTATTTGGTTATTATATTATCAAGCCTTGGTTGAGAATAGACACAACTGATAAAATTTGATCTTATCTTTGGTTTAGTTATTCAATTATCAAAACACTTTTCAAGTATCTATCCTCTAGGTTGTGGTAGATATGTGAATTATCAGGTTTCTGTTATTTATCCTCTAGGTCGTGATAAATACTGATAAGTGCAAAATTATAGTTATTTTGTATATACTTTTTGTTGCACTTATCGACTTTTTTTGTTGTTAATATCATTGAATAATTTCCCGCTTTTTGTATAATTATGTATTTAATCGAGTTTTTGTGTATTTATGTACCGTTTGATAATTTTCCATTCATTTTATAGGTATTGATGTGTATTTGGAGCATGAGCAATAAAGTGTCGAAGACACGACTTCAAACGCGCAATTTTGAACAACTCATCAATGAATAAGGCTCAAAATAAAAGAATAAAAAATTATCAATTTGGTTGATATTTTATCATTTTTAGAAAGATTATTGAATAAGCTTTCCAACACTTCAAACCGAGCGCAAATCAGAGTTACGGTTCTCAAGTTATGGCCGAAACAGTGCAAAAAAATTTATTGTTGCTTCTGGTGTATTTCACTGGTGCATCCAGTTTCGCCCAGCAAAACTGACAGGACACAAATACGTTAAAAGGGATAAAAACACATTTTTTAGGTTATGTTTTAGATATTTTTAATCTCAATTCATCAAACCTCCGTGACCACGCATCCACTTTCCAATCTCAGCACCATATATAGCATATGCGGGCAGCCTCCATCGCTAAAACTCCGCCGGTAACTTACAGGTACCATCTTTTTATTTAAGTTTCATAAAAATTTGTGTTTGTTTTGTTGATTCATGTAAGATAGTATGGAGTTTTTTAGTTAGTCTGGTCATTATAAGAAAGGAGAGTGATATATGATAAAGAAATATGTCATCTAATACTTCATTTCTCTCTTTATCGTGAATGTGTGTTCCTTTTTTTCCTTCTTTTTTTAGTTATAATATTGACGCTTGTCACTATATGATTGGATGGAGGTTTTAATTAGAAAAAATTGAAAACAATGAAATGAGAAGCAGTCTGAGAAAATGTTCCTTTTTAGATTTTCTTTATTATTATTTTATTTATTTCTTTATTGTTATTTGTTAGAATTCTAAATTAAGTTTAAACTTTATTATATTGAACTTAAGTCTATTATGTCCAATTTATAAGCTGACTATCTCACTTCTATGCTTTCTACTTATACCCATTTAATTCTATTTAATTTAATTTAAATTATTTTGTTTATTTTGTCCAATTATTTTGTTTTGTTAATTAATTTATTTTGCCTATTTTGTTTCTGGTTTGATTTGTGTGTTTAACTATTATTATAAAAAATAAAAAAATAAAAAATAACAAAACACTTCCTTGTAAAAATCATTTTAGTTAGTTAGAATTAATTTTGTAACTAATAAAAATTCTAAACTTGTACATTCATCAAACTTTTTCTTAATTAATTAATTTAATATTTTACAAAGATATTATTAAATCCTCTAACATAATTGGACTTCAAATAAAATCTGAGCTCAAGCTCAATGTTATCTGCACCCTATAATTTTACTACCATAATTAAACATTCACCCCCTGCGCGTTTAAGACTAAATTCAATATCTGAATTTGGACCCTGATATTCACACCTCCTGTATTTTTTAAATAAAATTAATTTATTTTTTATAATTTATTTATTTATTTATTTTTCATCTTTTCATAATTTATCATATTAACCTATAATTTTGCATAATTAGTAAATAATTATAATTTTTATATAAAAATATTTAACAAATTATAAAATAAATATTTACTAATTGAAATCTTTTCTAAAATACTAACTCTTTTTTTATATTTGCATTAAATATTTTTCATTCAAAATTACATCATATACTTGAAAACAACTAACACATCAACTACTAACAGCTTTTTACTAACTTAATTCAAATTCATATTTATTGTCAAAAAAGGATTATGAAAACTTCTTTTATCGACTGCGAACTACGTATACAATTCCGCTATTCACACACTCAGGCTTGGTTCAAGGAGGATTAAGAATATTTCTACAATCCATAAAAAATACTAACCAAACAACTATGAACTACGAATTGGGACTCTGATTTCTCATAAGAGGATAGGTAGACATTAAAATCGTGGTGGGTTCTCCTAATTAAAAAATTAAAAACCTATTCCTAAACCCTTAACATAAACTTTAGTATCCTTGTGAACAAGATAAATGAAGGGTGCCTAACACCTTTCCTTCGTCTAAAGTGAGCCAAGAACTTAGAACCTTTGTATCATCAATTAGGGTTATTCTGTTATATTCTTGTCTTAGGATAAAAATTAATGGTGGCGACTATATTTTTTGCCAATTATTACAGGAGCAGAAGTCGCTGTCTCCTCCACCTCCACCTGTGGTACCCGACCGCGTCCTTGGTGACTCGTAGTCTTCTCCGCTCTCTCTCGTCGAACAGATGCAATTTGGCTAGGCCTACCAAGTCTCAGGCTGTTGAGGTTCTCTGTCATTATTCTGAAAAAACAAGCAATCGTTATTCAACTTAAAGGTACAAGAACGAACAAGAGCATCTATGAAAAGCATTAAAAAATCAACCCATGCCTTTTTTTGGAGAAGCAACTCCGAAACACATCAGAGGGGTTTTCAGAGATGTATCTCCGAAAAAACCTACGACCTCCATTTCAATTTCTTCACTTAGCAGCACCATTCTTACACCAAAATACAATTTTTAAACAAAATAACAACTTATTTATTGTTTATACATAATCTATACAACTTAAAATAGCAATGCAAAGATTAAAAGGGATTGGAAAACTTGAAGTTTTTAGGGTTGTCGAAATGTGTTGAAATTAGGAGTTGGAGTGAGTTGAAATAAGAGCAATTGAGAATACCAACTTGAATGAGTTTTGGAATTACATATATTTTGAAGTTTTGGGGTGTTTGAGAGTTAGATTTTGGATGAAATGAGAATAAGGTGGTGGTTGTGCGTATTAGTTTCTGTCATATCCTATTTTGGAGATGCATCTTCATAACACTCCTGATTTTGAAAAAACAAGTGTTTCGAAGATGCATCTCCGTAATAACCCCAGAAAATATATATTATGGTGTGTTCAGAAATACATCTCCAAATATAAGAGTGGGAAAAGAAAATTTATTTATTTAAATCTGTGATACACTGCAGAAAATGTATTTCTTATTATGGATTTTTAGATAATATGCACTTTCAAAAGTAAAATGTCACATTTTTTGGGACGGATTGACCGATTATCAACTCTACATACATCTAATTAACCCAAAGAGCACGATGTTCGGGTTCACTATTGCTATTAAATTGTAATAACCCTTTCTTGCAATGGAATTTATGCATAAATGAAATCAACAACAAAAAGTCACGAAACACTCCTAATAAAAAAGTCACAAAACACTTTTGAGTTACAATGAATATCTAAATCAGGCTTTGAAAGGCATACAAAAATTTAAACCTAGTGTAAGATAACATCATCGAAATAACAAGTAAAATATCAGCATATAATTGGAAAAACACTCTTCACAGCTATTTACAACAAAATACAATAAAGATGTTCAAAATGACTCATTTTTTAAACTTCGGGGGTCTTACAAAACTCTCGATCCCTCTTTGATCACTAGATTTGGATCATCTACTTCCAAAAATTCTCTACAACTTCTCCATTCTCTTTATTTTTCTTTTAACTTCTCCTTTATTTTTCATCATTTTCTCCATCTCTCTCACCTGCATCTTAAAAGTCATGTCAGCTTATGATGAAGATATACTGTGAAATTCACTTCACTTTACATCTTTGCTAATCGTAACAAGTGATCAGGCAAGAAAACTTTCAGACTAGGTGCCTTGGGAGAAATCTGAATAATGTCCCCATCTTTAATGGCATAGTTGATATGGGAGCCATCAATATATATCACACCTTTTCTACAAGCCCATGTAGTGTTCATTGTTTCGTTGTGTTTAATCAATCCATGCATAGAGTCAGACACTGCCCCAGGCGAGATAGGTTCCCTTACCATGTACTGGAGAAACCGGGATAAAATGAGCATCGGAAATCCACCTGCTGAATGCATTGCAGCCGTTGAACCGGCAGCTGTTGAAACCCTTAGACCGCTTGATCTAACGTTAACTAGTGGCGAAAATGGTTGATTTTCCTTTGCAATTCTGCAAACAAATAAGCTTAATTGGCTTCACTAAAAAAAGAGTACACGAATCAAGTTTTGATATCTCACATGGAAGACATTACCTGAAGGAGAATCTAGAGATTGAAGCAGGACACGGATTTGCAACTAAGATATCGTTGAGAGCATAAGTTGGCAAGTCTAGTGCATTTACAGATATCTTGATCCTTGTTAACTTGGAAGGAGCTATTCGATTTTCGAGTATACCATCTAGAACCTGAAAAAGAATTGAGAAAAAAATACTAGATAGAAAAAATATTACACTGAAAAATATCTACTAAGCTCATGTTTACACTTGTTCAAGGTTTAACAGAAAGGATGAAATCATATGATGTAGCACTTTTATCTGTTCATAGAATTTTGATTGAAGAATTAAGAATTACTGGAAAGTTTCTTCCACCTGTTGTTAAAAAAGGGGCTCCATGTAGATACACATACATACCAAGACAAGTAATTCTCTAGAACTAAGCATTTGGAGCTGAATATATTAGCACCAAATTTGAAAAGTCTTGCGAAAATTAGAATAATAATACATCAACATGTGAGCACTAATTCAGAGAAACAACACATTTGTCCAAATTAAAAAGGCTTCCCCTTAAAAGCTATTGGTATCAAATTATTAGCAAAAATTATAATATTGACACCTGCATCAAATTTAAGAGGCCAAAACAGTACATAGAAATGGATTTTGAACACACATTTGTGTATAGTGGATATTGAACACTATGATGTAGCTTTTTCTAATCTCTCATCGTTGATTAGAGGTACATTCTGAACCTCAAACCTGTCCTATCAACCCAGGCTAAAATAGCGTTGACAGGTAGATTTGGGTATAATTAACAATTGTCTTCACATATGTAATTACTGGTTTATCATTATGACAACAGCGTCATCGAATTATAAAAAATCAAGTTTTCATTCCACAAAACGCAAGCCTCTACATCCTAAACCTCAATACATAGTAAAAAAGAAAAATATAACATCTACAATTTCCTCTAAAGTTAGGAAAGAGATAATCTTACATGTTCAAAGTTTTCAACAGTTGCAGCACAAAGATGACCCGTGCTTCTAGCAGCATTAAACTCACCACTGAATTTTTCCACCTATTACAAATAAAATACGAATTCATTAATTCAAACAAAATTCTGAAGCTAATAAATCAACATCTAAATTCTAAACAAACACAACATGTATATAAACCTCATCAATCCGAGTAGGATCTGAGTTCACTCCAAGAACAGGAATTTTGTCGTCCATTAAATGGCTAGCCAGCAGAAGAGTTCCATCACCACCAATTGCAACAACCAGGTCCACATCATTGATGGGCTCTGTCAAATTGTTTCCAAGCACTGCTTTCCATTCAACTGACTTTTTCTGCAGAATTTCTTGACAAAAGTTTACGGATTCACCATGCACCTTCTGCCTGTTATTCAAAAAGTGTAAGACCTGCATTTCTTTAGCAGTATTAGAACTTCAAGTTCTTGGATATTTTCCAAGAAACAACTCATAAAACTCAGCTATATTAACATGACAATGTAACCACACCCACATAGACATTTTATCAAACAAGATGCGTGCAAACAAGAAAGAGTGAAACAAACGCAACCCATTAACCCTTAAAGATTCAATAACAGAAACAAAACTGATCATAAAAGAAGCGGGTGATCGGAAAAGGAACATGGTGGGTGGTACCCGTGAAGCCATTATTGAGAAGAAGAAAAGGAATTACCCGGGGGTGAGTGTGGGAAGGTTGCGCAGATAAACCAGAGGGTTTGAGCAGTAGTAGCAGTTTCTTCATCGTCATTTGCTTTCGCTCTCTCAACTGAAACTGAAAATGAAAATGAAATTGAAAAGGAAACTGAAACCAGAGAGTTTGATGATTCTAATATGTAATAGTATACAGTATATAATTTAGTTGATTAGTTAGTTAGAGTTTGTTATTAGGTAATTAGTTTGTTAATGTCTCTAAACCTAGATTATCTCAGGTAATTATTTATTATTTTTCTTAATATGAATTTTAAGGGATTTTTTGAATAATTCGCGCACATGTGTCATTGTAACTTGTATTTGGCGTATGTACTACTTTCACGTCAAAGGAAATGATACATGATTTGTGTGCATAGGAGGAGGCCTCAATACCCCTAGAACCACAGTGCATTGGTAATAGATTAAAAATAAATTGGGAAAAAATATTTATATTATTAAATTTAAATAAAATTACAAGACAGAAAATTTCGTAAACATATTTTAACGATGTGGTTTATCATAACGGTCACCAGTTCCACAATCTGGCATTGTCATTCTCTATGGAAGCTGCACACGACCCCTTTGTGGTGGTTGTTGTCTTCCAAGGTTCATCTGAGGTGTTTGGTGGCTCTCTGGATTCACCTGAGGTGTTTGGTGCGAGGTCTCTGGAACATTAGTGTCATCAATGATATTTAGCCTCTCTCGCTAGTTGCATGTGTTGTCGTACTCGAGTTCGATGCCCGTGTTATCGTAGTTGGGTTGTGTTGGTTGTCTTATGGGTTGGCGGGCTGGTTGGTTAAATTGGGTGAATTGGGACATTTATTCCTTTTGGAAACGAGGCAATGGTTGTTATGGTGTTTGATAGGCATGTGTTGGTTGATTGCTTTGGCGATGTGATGTTTGGGTGCTTTGGCGATATAATGTCTTTGTGTATATTGATTGGGGGCTATCGTAAGATATGATGGTATCATATGCCTCACCAGTGATATGGTAAGATGTGGTGGTGGCATATGTTTGTTGGTGGTATGGATAATGTTCTTGGTTTTGTGTTTGGGTGTGTATCATGAATTGATCGCGGGTTTGAGTGTATATGGTTTAACAATCATGTGGGGTTGATTGTTGGGTGAATGTGGTTTGATAATGTTGTGGGGTTGGTTGTTGGTTGTATGTGGGTTAACAATTTTATTGGGTAGGTGTGTTGGGTGTAGGTGTGTTGGTTGTCATGTTGGACGTGTGACGATTAAGCTCGAATGTATGGGTCGATCAAATGCCTCGGGTCAGACACAAAATGTATTGCTGTAAATGAACAATCGATGACGACGCTTCCACATTTGACATGCATCTGTTGCAAAATCTCTCAAATTGACAAACTTCAATTGGCCATTGATTCTAAGTGGATGCCATTGTCCCGAACATGTCGGGGGATCTGGGATTTGTTGTTGCATTTCGAACTGTAATTTGACACGGTCACTACCACTACAATAAATAATGTTTTTCATGACGAAGCTTTCACATCTGCCAAAGAAAAATTGAGGTAAAATACCAAGGCGCGCCATCTTTTATTATTTATAAAAATAAAAATCCACGATTTCCCTCGGGTTTTAAAATAACCGAGGTGAAATACAAGTCAGGACACACTTCGAATCCCAACTATTGCAGTTTATGTTTTTATTTGTTTATAAGTGTAAACTAAATGATCTAACCCTTCGATTTTCGATATAACCGAGGGATAAAATAATCAAATTTTCTTATAAAAGCACTCGTTAAATTTTACCCTAATCCTTACTTATATGAAGCCGCCCTAAACTCGCATGCATCAATCTTTGGGAGGAATTACAAAACAGAAAAAATTTGCAATGTTCTTCTATCTAGAACAAAATATTTTTTTCCCCCTTGCAATCTATCTCACATAATAGTGTTGATGTTGTTGTTGTATTTTTGGGATAAACATCCGATGATGGATTGCAGGTGCAGAAAAAATATTTTCCAATGTTTGGAACAAATAACTTATTAGAAGATGGATGCATTCAAACCATTGAGCTTAAAAAGCATGCACATAAGGGTATACAACTAAAATCCGGATTACAACAAAGATTTGTTGTTCTCCAAGAATAAAAGCGACTATGATGACATTGCATCTGTTGTAATAATGTACTTTAATATTATTGCTTCAACTTACACAAAGAAGGGAGCTCAACCTTTGGATAATGGATATCAGCGAAGATATTCATTCACAAGAGAAAAGATTTGTTGTAAACCATTTATTTTAATATTTTGTGTAAACAACGAAATTGTCATATATATATATATATATATATATATATATATATATATATATATATATATATATATATATATATATATATATATATATATATATATATATATATATATATATATATAAAACAAATCTCACATCGGTTTTTAAAAATAACTGAGGTGAAATCTGGCTTTGTAAAACAGATTTTACCATAATTCTAACTAATATATAACCGTGAGAGATAGAAGAAATATTTACCACTTAAGAACAGATCTCTGAAGACCATGAAATCTTTGATGTTCCACCAAAGATTTGTTGTAAATTATGAGATCTTTGAGGATCCCACCAAAGACCTGTTGTAAATTATGTAAATTAAAAATTAATAATAATAAAAATCTTTCACCTCGGATTTTCTAAAAACCAAGGGGATATTTTAGCGTTAATTTTGAGGATATTTGTCACCGTCCTTAATCAAATTTTGGTCGTTCATTTTCATCACTATCAACGCTCAAGACACTTCCATTATTGATCCGCGTGAAACCTAAATAACTTGCATTATAAGAGAAATTTGAATATCAAAAATTCATAATACAACATCATAAAGCGCTTGAAACTATCCTCCACTTTAAGATTTCTAAAATTCCTGGTCATGAAGAGTTCTCTAAGATGGATTGCAAGAGCAGAAAATTATTTGGGTTTAAGGTTTATGTTCTTAAATGTTTATTTGAATATAAAGTTATTTATTTCCAGCAATTGATCTTCCCATGGATATCAAAGATTTGAAGATCCAACATATGATCTTCATGGACAAATTTGGTTTTTATTTTGATATTCTGTGTAAACAATGTAACCAGCTTAATATTTTGGATAAACATTGTATTTTGTAAACAAGTTACTTTATTAGTTTTCTGTGTAAACAATGTAACCAGTTTAAATTATAAAAAAACTAATAGTTTATCCCTTGGTTTTATTGATAACTGAGATACTTGAGGTGCTACAATTGTAAATGATAAAAATGCAGACAGTGTGGATCGAACCCATGCGCTATTAAAATATCCTCGGTATTTTAAAAATCGAGGTGATAAGTCTTTGCTTTTCATGACGACCATATTTACCTTGCTTCAGATGTCGAGGTAAAATGTATTTCGCGTCCGACATGACACAGGCTTTTTGTAGTAGCGTACAGTGCAACTACATAAAGTTTCAAGCCATTTGTATGTCTTGCACCCATGTCATAACGACATGTTCATATGCTCGTCATGATCTTTCCAAGCATTTATCCCCGTTTACAAAGTCATAAATGTATTCAATAAGTACAATAATAACTTCTCGGTGGTTGCAAAGGAGGATTTTTGGCGTATTTATCAAGGGAACATAATTTTGCACAACAAAAATATATGAAGGAAGAAAAAGGGTCGCCCTAACAGCACACATATTAGAATTGAAATGGATAGGACAAACAAAATGATAAGATTATGTAGTACATGTTGTCAACCCGGACATAATTAGAAAAAATTTCCCAATGTTGGAGCAAGCTCCGCAACATAATTTTTGTACGCACTCTTGATATGAAATTTATTTTTTGTAACCATGAAATTTCATATTGAATACAACTTTCATTTCATATCGAATACAAATTTCGGTTACAAAAAAAAACAAACACAAGCACACATAAAACAACAACACAAAAAATAACTAAAACGACTAAACACGACAACATATCTAAGATTTTACAACCATCAGGACAATATCATCTTATCCATACATCATAACACGACAATCACTACTAATTTTAACTGACTATCAATTCATTATTGTTGAACATCGTAACAAGCCTGCCAATTCTTCTATTTTTTTCACCCTCTTGAATGTCTCACTCTAACCAACAGATCAAGCTCCTCTCAAGATACTCGAAAGTCTCAGTGTTCTAAAGTCAGATCTTCATCGGAGGCTTCAATGACAAATAAAAAAGATGGCCATTTATTTTAATAATGTGAGACATTTTGGAGAAAAATTTAGGAATGAAATGAGGAGTTGAGTGGCAAATGGTGGAGAATGACTAACCTATATATATAAAAAAACATTACAACATAGAAGTCAGAGGTAATGACGCTTCCTCTTTGGCTAGCATGCATGTGCCAGTGGTGTTGGAGTCTCCTCTTAGGATCCGAAGGCATGTGTCACTCTTAATGGCATGATAGTAGTGCATGTGCCATAGATAGTGGCGCCTATGTGAAAGTTTGAGTGCATGTGCCATCAGCATTGGCACATCCTCTAGCATGCGAATTTTTTTTGTTTGAAAGTTGGATAATTTGGTGAATAATTTGAAATGTTGGTTATTTGAGTATTTATTTTGAAATATTTAGTTTATTTGAAAAAAATTCAGATTTTTTCTTTGTATCAAACTCTCGAATTTATTTCTCATGAAATTAATCTTCATCTTTTTGATCATATCAAGTGATGAAGATGAAACTTTCATTGAAGATTATTATTTTGATTTAGTCAATGGTCATTATAAAGATGATGATTCTAATTTTGCAACCATAGGAAAAATGAATTTTGAATTCACTTTTGGTAATATGTATCATGAATATCTTTGAATAAATCAGATTCAAACCGGACAATGATCTGATATATCCCTAGGAGCAATAAGTTGACCAATCACCCCTCATCTATTCACTATCTCTTCTAAAACAAGGAACCTATCGATACTACTCATAGACTTCTCATCACCACTATACCAAAAAAAATTATTTTCTTTACAAGGATCATCCACCAACTCACTTTCCTTAATAAAT